ACTTTATAGAAAACCATTATTGTAGCTGTATCAATATTGCAGCTATTGCTCTGGAGGAAATAATAAATGTTATATCTCCCAGGCAATCTTTAATAAATGCAATTTCTCTCAGCTGACATTTTAATAACTGGTTTGCAGCAGTAGACTTTAGAAGAAACCAAAGTGTAACTATTCTGTTGATTTAAAACATAGAACCATTTGTGTGATCATTTAGGTAAGCTAACAATAGGATTAATGTACTTTTATAGAAGTTAAAGACTATAACAAAAGTAAATACTGAAAGAGAGGGCCAACCTATGTACTCTGTATAATGAAAGGCCAAGGAGAGATTCAAGGTCACAGGTTCTACTTACTAGAGTATGGCCATAGTTATTTTAGAATAGAAATATATATATGTATTCATATATTTTATATTATTGGTTCAAATTAGTTTATAAACTATATATATTATATATAATATATAAAACATTTCACCAAGGATTTTACTTAGAAAATCTCAGTAATGCATTCATACAACATTTAACTTTGAGTAATACATCAAGTCCTTAAATAACATCATTTTGCTCTTGCAATATTGAGAAAAAATCAATTCCCAGCCAGGGCCACTGTCTATTTGGAGTTTGCATGTTCTCTCTATGTCTGGGTGGGTTTTCTCTGGGCCCTCTGGTTTCCTTCTATATCCTAAAGATGTTCATGTGAAGTAATTCGACTTGCCTAGATAGTCCCAGTCTAAGTGTGTGCATGTGTGTGAGTGTGTACATGCATGTGCAGGTGCATGTGCATGTGTGTATGAGTGCACTTTGCAACAGGATGGTGTCCTGTCTAGGACTAGTTCCCACCTTGTACCCTGAGCTGCTGGGATAGGCTTCCGCCACCCAACACCCTGAACTAGAATAAGCAGGTAAGTAATTATCTTACTTGTTTTTCTTATTCTTTCTTAAATGTATGAATAGCTCACATTTATTTCACAGTTTCATATTAGAAGCATTTTGGTCTTTATTGAAAAGTTTGAGGCCAGGCACAGTGGCTGACATATATAATCCCAGCATTTGGGGAGGCCAAGGCAGAAGGATTGCTTGAGTCCAGGAATGGGAGATCAGCCTAGGCAACATAGCAGAACTCATCTCTACCAAAAAAAAAAGAGCTGAGCATGGTGGTGCACACCTGTAGTCTCAGTTTCTCAGGATGCTGAGGACAGAGAAGAATCACTTGAGCCTAGGAGTTCAAGGTTACATTAAACTGTGACAGTAGCACTGCATTCCAGCCTGGGCAACAGAGTTTTTGCAGCCAGAAATATGCCATAGGAACTTAACTCTTGTTTATATCAACTAGCTTCTAGTAAAATCGGTTTCATTGTACTGAATTTCACTTGAAGTTTTTAAGAACCTGTTGATAAAGTTAGGTGAGGACTTGCTGTAAACTTCCTAATCTTTTTTCCAGTATAAACTATTTGCAGCATAAATACCTACAAAACTGATTTAATTTGCTACAGAGGATTAAATATTGACCAGTTTATAGTTAAGTGTGTGGGGAGAAGTTCTACCAATTTTTTCAATAAATAAGTAGAAAAATCCAATTATTTTAATATAAAGTCCATTCCCAGTATTTTAACATGTCATTGGCACACAACAGAATGCTTCAATTTGCTGAAGTATGAATTAGTGATTATATATTGTGTCATTACTCCTGGAATTCACTACCAATTAGCCAAAGGGCTACTTCTACTGAATGTATAAGCAAAATGACTTGGAATCTGTTGGGAGCCAGCCTGGAGGCCTGCCTGAATGTTAGGGATCCAGGCAGGCTGCGGACCCGGAGCCCACCAGGCTGGTTCAGGAGCTGAAGGCCCATTCCCTCCTCCTTTCCTTGTTGTTTACCATTACCCACTGGTAGGGTTTTTAACCATCTAAGCATGAAGTTCTGAGAATATGACAGGCATGGCTGACTCTAGGGATCCATTGTTCCTGCTTCTCACAGACTGCGGTTTCGGCTTTAAACTTAACACAGTTCAAACTCAGATGACATTTGGGAGCCTTATACGTGGTACAAGCTTCTTTATAAGATTTAAAAATATATTTGTAGAATTAGTATATACATTTAGAGAGCTGTTTCCAGCATGAGATGGTTATCTAGGGTTACCAGAAATGGCCCAGCACGAACTTTGGGCTGGGCCACATTCTTAAGGGCCCAGCATCCATTTTGGACTGGGCCACATTCTTTAGGAACTGGTCTGACCTACAATTAAGAGTTTTTTATAGTACAGGTAAAGTTAGCACAGGAAT